TTCACACCCAATCGCTGGAGGTGACAAAAAAGAAAAAAAAACATTTTATATATTGGGTTTCATCCACACTGTCAGTTAAATAAGTATTTCCTGCCAGGAATAAACATGGGGGAGAATGAGAGGGTTGAAATTTGCAAGGCAAAGAAGTACAAAGTTTAGCTCTGTGAGAAAATTTGAGTTAACAGATGTAAAAACCTGGCCCTCTTACCGGTAGCTTCCATTAACAACAGTTATCTCAGCTGTCCTCCATCAAGTCTCATGGATTAACTTAAAAATATGTAAAATGTCTCTTAGTCTTGCACATATTTTTTTTCCATCGCTTCTGTTGAAAATCAACCGAGAGGACTTTGCGCTGAAACCAGTTGTAGGATCAAGGTAATGATTTAGAAGCTAACCAGCTTGTACAATGTGAGATGAATGATGCAGTGTTAGGAATGACTCAGCAGGGGTCTGTATCCCTTTAAGAGCTTGAGTATAAAAGGGAAGGCCTTGCTGGAGTCTTTCTCTCTAGTCCGTTTCCTGCTGTAACTGCTGTACATTGGAGTTTGCTGAATGACCACGTGTATGTATCTTGTTTCTAGTGTAGATTTGTAGATAGGGTAATATAAACCACAATTTAATACAAACCACTGTCTACTGTGTTTACTCTTGGGTTATCTCAGTGCAATAAGACTGTGCATGCTCTGACAGGAAAAGACCAAGCCCGCTCAGATGGGCAAGATGGATCACACTAGTGAGCATTCTGCAAGGGATCTGCATGGCCTTCTTTTTATTGTGTGATTAGGGTTATGATATTTGAAAAGCTTTAAAAACACTTCTCTTCCAAGAGAACTCCGATTATTAAATGTGATGAATGAATAGTGGAAGGAAGGCAGTCCAAGTTAAATCAGAATGAGTTTCAGGCATTTAACCTATCAGTTTCTGGGCATTGGGCTCTGGGGAATGTACTTACTCTGGGGCCCTACCTGGGGATCAAAAGAATACTCCCTCCTGTTCCATATTTGATTCTACTTGCACTGTGGTTTAGCTTGCAGATTTATAGAACCAATCACGGAAACCAAGCATACACAGTTTGCATCTTTCACTCTATTATGATTTAGATGTATTTAGAAATTGCTTTTCTATCCACCAGGGAACACAAGCTGATGCATATTTTATTAAGAAAAATGCAATAATACAACGGTAACCCAATAAAGGCAATATCCAGCCATTGTTTAAAAACACGACAAAATAATGTTGAAGTTCATTGGGACTATCAACATTTAGAGCTTTCTAATGGGGGTTAGGACAGATCTCTCTGCCAATTAAGTCTCTACACAAACTTACATTTGTAACTTATACTCAACAACACGCTTCTCAACAAACATTTCAGGACATAGGGAAAACAGCTCAAAATTGGGAATTAAAAAAGATAAATCTGACCCTCTGCCTATGTTCTTCATATTTCATGCAGGACCATATTAAAATCTGAACAAGAAGACACATTTTAAGATAGAGTTGAATGGCTGTTGAAAATATATGTACATATGGTGAGGAGGGACTTTCGACACTGTAAGTAGAATCAGTTTGTTTTCTTCTATTATCCTTTTAAAGCAGTTAAAAGTGGATGGGGGGCATTCTGTCTTTTGGGCAGGATGCATTTTTTTTTGATAGCTATCTAATCTTCTGGAGTGATGGGAATGAACTGGACAATTGCAGGTACTCTTTAACTTACAACAATTCGTTTAGTGACCGTTCAAAGTTACAACAGCACGGAAAATTTGCCTTGGGACCATTTTTCACAGTTACAACCTTTTGTGGCATCCTCATGATTAATGATAATAATAACAATAACAATTAACAACAACAATAATAAGATCAATAATTATAATAATAGAGTTGGAAGGGACCTTTGAGGTCTTCTAGTCCAACCACCTGCAAATTTTGATCAGGTGATCAAAATTTGAAGGCTTGGCAACCGATTCATATTTATGACTGCTGCAGTGTCCCAGGGTTACGTGATCCTTTTTTGTGACCTTCTTTTGCGAGCAAAGTCAATGGGGGAACAGGATTCACTTAACGATTGGGTGACTAATTATCAACCTCAGTGATTCCCTTAACGACTCTGGCAAGAAAGGTCGTAAAATGAGGCAACGCTCACTTAACAAATATCTCCCTTAACAACAGAAATTTTGGGGTTGAGATGTGGCTTGGACATGTTAGGTAAGTGGTATCTTCACATTAAACTAGAAGGGAAGTGTGTAAGGATAAGGATGAAGCCTGTGCAAAAAGAAATTTAAGACCTAAGCCCAAACCTAAAATTGTAATGAATTTTGGTCCCTCCACCCTTGCATGAATTGATTCCCCCAAAAATATGCCTCCTTTGGATGATCCAGCAAAACGTTTTCGTCCCGTCGCTTCCCTTTCTCAAGTCTTTTCTGACCACCCTCTTCCCTTTAATCCAGGGGTCCTCAAACAGGGCTACTTTAAGTCTTGTGGACTTCAACTCACAGAATCCCCCAACCAGCCATGGGGACTGGAGGCTAAAACATATAAGGAACGGTTGCTAGAATTGGGTATGTCTAGTTTAATGAAGAGAAGGACAAGGGGGGACATGATAGCAGTATTCCAATATCTCAGGGGCTGCCATAAAGAAGAGGGAGTCAAGCTATTCTCCAAAGGACCTGAAGGCAGGACAAGAAGCAAAGGATGAAAACTAACCAAAGAGAGAAGCAACCTAGAACTAAGGAGAAATTTCCTGACAGTTAGAACAATTAACCAGTGGAACAACCTGCTTCCAGAAGCAGTGAATGCTCCAATACTGGAAGTTTTTAAGAAGAGACTGGACAGCCATTTGTCTGAAATGGTATAGGGTTTCCTGCCTGAGCAGGGGGTTGGACTAGATGACCTCCAAGGTCCCTTCCAACTTTACTACTATTATTATAAGTCCACAAGTCTTAAAGTGGCCAAGTTTGAGGACCCCTGCTTTAAGCCTTTGAACACCCATTTCCCATCCAAATCATAATATCTGGAATAGATGCCAGGGATACTTACATGGCAGAATGTAGGGAGCATGAGGAGACACATAAGGAAGCCATGCAGAAGGGAGGAAAAAAAAAAGAAACAGAAAGAAAGAAAGAAAAACGAGTTAATAAATCAGCTCTTTTTTTTTCTTTTCTTTCAGAATGAGGCAACTGCCTATCAATATTTGTTTCTGCAAAGGGGCTAAGGGATGCAGACTGACAGACAAACCACATTTGTTTTCTGACAATCAAGGATGGGATCTAATGGTGGTCTGAAGAAGAAGAGAAATAGGATAAGGATCTGGCTAAGATGACTCATATTACCTGCATTTCTGCTGTTTAACTTTTTGTTGTTGTTGTTGTTGTTTTCTTGCAGATGTTTCATTATCCAATTAGGTAGCATCTTCGTTTCTTCTAAGAGCTTGGAAGAGTTCTTCTAAAGTGATTCACTGGTGATGTTACCTAGCTGGATAATAAAATATCTACAAGAAAACCACCAGACCAGGAGGGCATCAGGGACCCCACAGTTCATCCCTGAGCTGTAAATGTTTTCTTCTGTTTTTCTTTAAAGTCAACCATTTTAAACATTTAGATCTGAGCATGATTTTCTGCCAGAGGTCATGTCTGTCTCTGCCTATCATCTATGTCTACCACCTTCCAGCCAGTCCCACATCTCCTTCTACTGAATCCCATCCTCTATTCATCAGGCCAACAACTGTGTTGTCTATTTCTTTCCATTTTCAATATTTATTTCAAAGGCATTGCTTTGTTTTTGTTACTAGGACACAGATGAGGGAGCAGCTGATCTCTTCAGTACCCCAGATGGCACAGGAATACCACAACGAATATTTACAACATACTCGAAATGGTACAGAGCTTCACACACATTCATTACAAGTAGAATAAGTCTAGGTGTGTACATGCTGGCCTCCACATGCTCCTTTAAGGGGAACCAGAAAATCAAATCCAGCTAATAAGTTTGAAGTCTTTCCCCAACACACACACACACGTCAATCTCCACCTTGACCAAGGAAGTTCTCTAAGAACAGAAAGAATAAGAAGTTGGAAATGTTCCAACCAGCATAATTCTTAGACATGTCTACTCTGCAAATCTCACCTGGTTTTATCAGAGGTTTCAACCTGTGGCTCTCTCAAAAGAACCCTGAAATATGTCTATGGAGATTCTCAGTCATTCAGGGTATAGTTGCCTCAAAAGTACTTTTTCAAAAGGCAAATGGGCTGTTGTTGTTTTTTTAAAAAAAATGAGAAAGAAGATGCTTCTCATCCAAGACACAGTTACAACTGATGAAACTTCTTGGATAAGAAGCAAAACAAAACAGTCCAGTTGCCTTTTGAGGAAAAAAAAAAAAACACTTTTGAGACAACCTTGAAAAGTATATCAATGAAGTAGTCTCTTTAAATGATAGGGTCATAGGGCTGGAAGGGACCTTGGAGATCTTCTAGTCCAACTCCCCTGCCCAAGGTAGGCATCCTCATACCTTCCTGGACAAATGGTTGTCCAGTCTTTTCTTCAAAACCTCTAATGATGGAACAATGAAAACTCTTGAGAGGCAAGCTGTTCCGTTGATTAATTGATAGTGGTAATTCATTGACTTTATGTTAGTTTTAGTCCATCTGGGTAATGGGACAATTCCCAGAATTATTTTTATTTGGTGGGTGGGAGAGGGAAGAGAGAAAGGGTCAGAGTCTTTATGACCTTAGATCCTTGAAAGGGACTTTTCATCCAATCTTTACAAGGAGATCTCAAACTGGATATCGTAGCTCTCAACCGCTGACCAGACATGACACGATAGGAGACAAGGAGACCAATACCACACTGTACCCTCTCTTGACACCCCCCTCGAGCAGGAAGTAGTACAGTCCTCCATGCAAATTGAACAGGGGAACAGGCAATGTGTATCAAAGGGGAGGGGAGGGGAGGGGAATTGTAATAAAGGGAGGCCGAGCAGATGTGACATACAGCAAGACAATACTGACCTTGGAACAAGGTTGAGCTTGTGGGCTCACTTATTTCTAAACCAGGCAAGGAAACAATAGAAGAGAAAAAAAATGAAGATAAAAAAGGAAAATAAATATATTGCTTCATAATTAGCACTCCACAAAACAGGCTGTATAAGGAAGAAATGAAATGAAGGAGGAGGATGTGGAGAGAAGGAGAGAAGGCGGACTCTGAAATGGATGGGAAAGTAAAAAAAAATGCCAAGTGCTGTTCGACAATGAAGCATAGAAAGTAGGAATAGACAATGACTCCATGAAATGTAATTCATAATGCCAGCCTTGCAAAAAAAAAAAAAAAAATGCTCTAACTCTAACCTCTAGGACCACACATAAAATGTTCTTGGATTTCTTGCTGTTATCCTTCAAGTTTGTTGGCTATTTTGAAGATGACCACAGATTATAGATCTGATGAGCTGTCAACCCAGTAAGAAGAAGCTAACTTGAGAAGAAAACCATCAACTGGAAGCATCTCCAAAGATAAAAAATAGTTCTTTGCCCCTTCTCCTTCCAAGAAACGAAAAGCTTAATAGAGAATTCATTATTTAAAATTTCTGGAGGCCATTGTTTTCTTCATTTATTGCCTCCTGAGCCTGCCTCCTCACTGTTTCTTATTTCCTCCTCAATGCGAGAAGTGGCACTAGAAAAGCAAGGAGTTTCAAACAAGAGGCAGCCTGCCATTTTCCAGCTCTTTGCAACAATAACTTGGTTGCTAGGAAAGAAGTCTACGGTAGAAGCTAAAGCCTAAAGATAATTAAATTCCAAAATAAGAACCAGAATCCACCAACACCATCATCATAACCACCATCATCACAGACCTGATAATTAGCTGAGGATGAGAAGGAGGAAAAGAAGTAACAGCCACAAGAAAGATGATTAACTGAAGAATCTAGCTGGGCTTCTGAAGAATCTTAACATGTTAACTGAAGAATCCCTGTACACTGAAGGCATCAAGATAAAATAAAAGCTCTACTTAATAATCTGACTAATGCAGATTTTGACTCCTTACCACCCAAACACCCCACAGAGTTTTCTGATATAATGTTTCATTCCAAACTTTAGCGTCAGAACCCGATTTTGATGCATCTTGTCTTTCATTACTGGGCTCTCTGCAAGTTAGGCTTTGCTGGATCTCTCTTGTTGTGAGTCCCTTGCTAAAGAACAAGAGGATCACATTGCTAGGTCTACAATGGGTGGCAAAATGACAAAACTGTTTCTATGCTTTTGCATTCATGGCAATTGCCTTGATTGCTTTGTGTTTTGATTGCCTCTTTGTTGTCTCAATAATCCATAACACGTTTCTGTAAGATTGGCTCAAATTACTTCAGTGAAATCACCTATGGTATTAAGTTCATGACTAAGGTAGAATTTCAGTTTAGGTCTGCTTGGCTTGACTGTGAGGAAGTCTCATCCCTCCAGATGTTTTTGAGCTATAACTCCCAGGGAACCTGGTAATGTTGGGAGCTGAAGGTGGGGGGGGGAGCTCCCTTTCATCTCTGGCTCACAACATGATCCCCCTCTTTTTCACAGATCAATTCTGCTTAGCTTCTTTTATAATTCCAACCTAAATTATATTACTTCTCAAGCAATGCATTATTCATTGCTTAGGACCACAACTGCTTGGTCAATAAAAATGAATAAAGGATACAAGACTCTATTCCATTTCAGCAAATCTTTATGTTACATGTAGTTAACAGGTGTTGCGCAAAACTGGTAAAGAGAGAAAGAATAATTTCTACACCAAGATTAAACCAGGACAATATAAAAGGCATGGTGGTATGCTTTAATTGTCAGACTGTGGACAGGGGACCAAATTTTGTCCACTGTGCTAGACCAGGATAGAACTCTTTTCAGTTCACAAATAGATATCAAGTCAATTGGGGGTAATTTAAACAACTGTAAGAAAGAGAGTCACAATGCTCTCTACACTACTGATTTAGTCAGAAAAGGAACTGGTAAGATACATTGTGTGTTTGTAAGATGTGAAAGTAGATAAAAGCAGAAGTAGGTAGAGACAGGATCCAGAAACAGGCAATAAAACAAGTATACTATCTGGGGTGCCCAGAAAAAACACATACCTGAAGTATCATAAAGCATTCTCTTGAAAAGTGTTGTCCTTAAGTTAAGAGTTTACCCACCAAACTAAGATGTCTTAGGATCTTGCATGACTGACCTACTATGGTTCTAAATCATGACTTAAGGCTTCGCATTTTACATAAACGTTCCTTTTTTTTGTGGCTTAGTTGATAATCCATATGAATTCTTCTGATCTCTTTGGGATCCCTGGATAAGTTTTAGCTGGCCATGAGAACACACATTACAGACTCCTACATTTGAAAGCATGTTCTCAGGAGAACATCTTCCCTATAGTCATGGGCTGATCCACAATTGCTCAAAGCCCATAGTACAGCTGCCCACTCTCTTTAGACAATAATGTATATTTTCTCTATAGAGCATTCAGTTAACATATATCTGTTCAACTGATACAATTACTGAATTACTGCTCCGTGTTTCAGAAGGCCTTTTATGTCCCTGATATTTTACAGAAACAGTCCAAACAGTCAACTTTTATATAATAGATATTTTTTTTTAAAAATGGACCATCATAGTTACATAATGATGACTATTTTAGTTTGGAACATGCTCCAGAAACAGATTCTATATATTCATTCATTAAAATGAATAATGGGATCACCTGTAAATCAGAGTCCAAATCTGTCTATCCTGGTCCAAATGCTGGTGCAAAGTTTTGTCCAACCCTCTCATTGCCTGTTGCCATTAGTGTGGTTATTTGTGGGACCTATGGGATGATCCCTGGACTCCACCTATCCCTTACTGCATGAATCCCAGATGCAATAGGAAGGGTCTATGCTTGCTTTAACTTCTCTCTACAAGGTCTTCTCCATCTGCATTTGAGTGGTGACCGTCTTTTCCCAAAGCAGCGGGAAGATTGATGAAAAAGCCATTACAAACTTTATCTCTGCTCTAAGAAAGAAAAATCTAACCCCAATTTTTAAATCAGGGAAGTCTAAATTGAAACCAATAACGATTGATGAACTAAGAATTGGCACTTTCTAACTAGGAATAACATTAGATGACTAATGCCACTCATCCTGGAAGTATGTTTGGTCCCACAATTTTTGCAAGGCTGTATGGTACAACTCTATGATGATGGGATGGGATAGAAGTCATCAGGAGTTAACTAATCAGCATTCTACATCATTTTAGCTCCTAATGTACAGATGGGTACACTATCCCATTGTTTGCATGGTTTCACTCCACTGCAGATATTTCCAATTGCTTCCTCTCCTTCTGTCTGCTTGTGTTGTTTAAGACCAACCCAAAATATTTAATACTGCATCTTATTCATCACCAACTGGAAGCAATTGCATTGATTCCCTTTGACCACCAGTTTCCTTCTATTAGTAACTTCCCAAAGCCAATTTTATGACTTTCATTCAGTTGCCAAATAACCACATTTGGTCAAAACACAGATAATAGTCCTGAAGGACACTCCAAGAAAATCTAATGTAGGCATTCAGAAGGAATTTTGAATGCAAGAAGAAATGTATAGTACACTGCGCTGGTAGAATAAGTGTTAAGATACAATAATTGGAATGGATGGTCAATCTGATTATTCTTGGGTAGTTCAATAAAGAATAGTTTTCCATGTTCATATCAGCTGCTATAAAGATACATAGACAGGGATGTAAGACATGAGTAAATCTTGCATCATGTAGATGATCAAGAAGGTTTTTAAACTATTTTTGTCACATTCTTAATAGGAATGTTGATTATGTTAGATAAGTGACTACATCTTCCTTGATCAGAATAGAGGGACATTACAGCTCTTTTGTGATTTTGCCTTCTAGTGAAATGTCTGGGGTTATGCTTGGAAGAGTTAGTGATAAAAGGAAACCCAAGAACACAGTGGCTGGATATCATCAGAGCTGACCACCAGCCAGAACATAGAAAAACTCACAGAAGTTGTGCAACATCGGAAGGTGTGGAGAGACCCAGCCCATAGAATTACCAAGAGCCAGAAATATTTGAATGGAGATCATGATGATGATCATCATCATCATCATCATGATCATGATCGTCACCACCATCACCACAGCTCTTTTGGTCCCATCTTGTACCCTATCCCTTCCTTGTTCTTGTGAATCTCGTTTGCCAAGAACGATGTTGTCATCTTTATGGACAAAGCTTTTGGACCATTTATGTTCCTTGTGGCGAATCTCAAGCTCTATATAAAAGCCTATTTTGGAATAGTCAATAGATAAAAAACCTCAGAATTCTGGACAAGAAGTCTAACGAGATCACGTGAAAGCCAAAAGAAACAAGGCTCTGGAGGATTTGCTTACCCCAGCTTCTAGTGGGCATGAACAGTGAACAACCATGCTTGTTTTCTAACACGAAGAAACATAACAAATAAGACAAGCAATTAGAGCTGTCTCTGGCTGTGAGTGGTGTCAGATGGATCAATCACTTTAATCAGAGCTCCGGCTTGTGGAGAAAATGGTTTCTAGGTAAGGCTTCAGAGTTCTTCCCCACCTTCCTTTGTTGTAGTCAATTTTTTATTATTATTATTATTTTATATTGAAGTACCGTATATTCCGGCGTATAAGACGACTTTCTAAACACTTAAAATCTTCGCAAAAGTGGGGGGTCGTCTTATACGCCGGAAAAATATTACTCAGCAAGTTTTCTCTTCCCCCCCCCCTCTCTCTCACTCAAAAAGAGTCCTAGGGTTATTATTAAAACCAGCCGATCAACTAAAGATATCTCTGAGAGTACGATAGGCATTATCTGGCTGTTGTGACGGTAAGATTTCCTGGAGGTTTAATCCCCATTCTATAATGCTACATTGCAAACCGTCTCCTCTCTTCTTCCCTCCCTTTTGCATCCCAATTCCTTGCCCACCCCTCCAGAACTGCGGATTGGTAGTGGCCATCCCCTGATTAATTCATTCAAAGGAAGTAGAAAGGGATGGCCCATGTAATGGGGAAGGGGGG